CCCATATGAGCTTGAGCCGCCCTTGGGGAAACAATCCCAAGAGGCAAATCCCAAGTCAAAGGCTACGACCAAACAAACACGGCTCGTAGGCATCCGAATTCTGTAATAAAATAGGACTTCAAATATTTCCATAAAACCGATTTTAAAGGCTACCCTCGGCAAATTAATAAAGGGTTTCGATCACATCAACCCTCGAAAACTCTAAGGGGTACTGAATTGTTCGAACTATCAAACAAGCTTATTTCACGCTAAGGCGTAACGAAGCAAAGGGTTTCGATAACACTAACCCTCGAAAACCCTAATGGGTACAAATTTATCTCGTGCTAAGACATAACAATTTTTATATGATTAACTTTTTAAGCCGAAAAGGGAAAAAAGCCATTCTTTTTAAGGCCATATCAGCCTAATTCAAGAGCCTAAGGGCCATTTTATTTTTTGAGTTCGAGCAGTCATCCTCACTCAACTAAAAACTAAGGGTGACCATACTTTAAGTCAAGCAAGTACTCACTCGATTACAAAGACTACACTAGTCCGACTTCGATCAAATTGCCTAAGCCTTGTTCTCATGAACAAAATTTTCACAAGGCATGGACAAAGTAGAATTTTCACAAGATAGAAATTGAAATAAAGACAAGTCAGAAAACAAAGAGTTCTTTTATATATACGAAAATATTTATAAGGACGGATCAGGGTCCTACACAAAAAATTTTGAAAAAAAAGAAGAAAAATCCTAAATGCCTAATTTTCCTCGGGAGCTGCATCCTCGCCATCAGGATCTCCTCCGCTCTCAGATCTACTCATACTCCCGTAATCATCATCATCAGAAGAGAGCAACGCTTTGGCTTCGGCCTCAAGCTCTTTCATATTCTCGATCTCGACAGCAAGGTTAAAACACGAGCATGAATCTCTTCAAGAGTCTCTCTTCGAGACTAGCATTTGGCATGCTCAGTAACCCAGCATGCTCGAGCCTGAGCAGCATCTGAAACTTCTTTTGCTCGAGCTTTAGCGGCCTCGGTGTCAGATCGGTAGACACCCGCAATCACCTCAGCATCGTCCTTAACCATCTTAGCCTTAGATTTCATCGCTGCAATCTCCGTGTCCAACCGAGCCTGTAGCTCCTCAATTTTCTTGCTTGTTCCAAGCTCTTCTCTTTCATGCCTTGGATTTGGTTTTCGGTTGAGGATAACTGAGCTTGAGCTGCCTCTTTCTTTGAGGCAAGGCGATCCATCTTTTGTTTCTACATTGAAGTCCATGCCTTCACCTCGTCTACCTCTCCTTAGAGTTGCACGATCGTTTCATGCAGCCGTTGGACCTGTGAGATCGAATCATTAGCCATCACTCCCAAAACGAGGCCATAAGCGTCTAAGACTTTATTTACTTGCTCGGTTAGTTCACTTTGTTCTTTCTGGGCCACGACCAACTCAGCTCGAAAACCTTTGATTTCTTTTTCTTTTTGCTCACCAACAAGCTTGAGAGCATTTTTCTCCTCGGTAAGCCCTCGAATTTCAGCTTCATATCGGCTCAACTCTCTAAGAGACTTGAAGAAAGCCTCGTGATAAAGTACTGAGGCCTACACAGATAGAAGGTAAAGAATTAGGCAAAGAGAGAAAAATAAAAACATGAAGACCGGCATCGACAGAAAAGGTTAGGGCTTACCCGATTCAAAGCTTGCTGGGGTTCGTTGAAGAGGCACAGTGCTCCCACCTCATCTATCAGATCTTGATCCTCCTCAGTGAATAGACCTTGAAGGTAACGGTCCATCCCTACGGGGGCGGCAAAAACTCGTGCATCCTCCGGGGCTGTAATAATGATGGTTTGTTTACACTCAAGATCGACACTGGAGGCTGAGAACTGGCTGGTCAATCTGAAACTCGAGGAAGTTTTGCCCAATCTACTCCTCAATACATCCAAGTAATTCAAGTCGGTGGCATCATCAATCCCGGAAAAACAACTTCGAAAAAGGTCCTCCCCTCTGACGGCACCTTCTACCTGAGGGGCTTTCATAGTTTGAGCCTCCCGAACTTCCCCTTACGAGAATGAGGGAAGTGGCAGGGAGTCACCAATTTCTATTGCCCCAAGTGAATCACTTGGGGCGTTCTCTTCATTTCGAAGGGCCTCGGAGCCAACCCCTTCGGACATACCTACCACTACTCATCTCGATGGGAATTAGTCTTCAACAACTCGGGGACTTTTCCCGGATCCTCTTCTGAGACCCCCTCGATTTGAGGCTGGATTTCTCCAACCCTCGCCGATTCGGAGGCCTTGGGGTCCTCGGTGCTCCTCTTCACTCGAGCTACCAGCTCGAAGCCGTCGTCCTCATTTTCTTCTTCTTCATCTCTTAGCCGATGAACTACCTCCGCAGGCAGGATTGAGGTGTCTTTCTTCAGCTTGCGAGCCTTACTTTTTTTGGGTTTTGGGTCCTCAAAGGTCGAGACCCTTTTTTATCTTTTTATCCTTTGCCTGTTTTGAGGCGGGGAGGCGACACCTCTTTCTCCCCGTATGGGGGTCTCATGACTGCATTTTCTTCAAGGCCTATATGAAAGGAAATCAAGTGAGTATGAAAAGAAGTATTTTAGAAAAGATCATCTAATACTTGAAAATGGCTTACATGATTTTTGGCCTCCCATTGGCCCCTTACCAAATCACGCCATGAGTGCTCAGTATACGAAGTGGTCAGAGCCAATTTCCGAACCCAGCTCTCGAGGTTAGGAATTGCACCGGGCATCCAAGAGACCGCTACATCATAGGAAAGGATGTCGATGAGAAAGAACAAAGGAAAGAAGGCGATAAATGGAAATTGTAGATAGGATTGTACTAACGTTTCATATTCCATTCCTCGGGAAATGGCATCTTCTCGGATAGGATTAGGTCAAAATTCTTCACTAGAACAAACCAGTCCATCCATCCTCGATCCTTGTCCTCGTCTATGCTCGAGAATATCACCTTGGTAGCCCGACGTTGAAGCCTTACTAAACAGCCTCGATAGAGACGGGGGTTGTACATCCTAATAAGATGGTCGAGAGTGAAAGACATCCCTTCGACTTTGCTTGCAAAGAATCAGAGCATAATAACAATCCACCAAAAGGAGGGATGGATCTGACCTAGGGTTATTTGGTATTGACGGCAAAAATCAATGATGACGGGATTGACAGGTCCCAGCATAAAAGGGTAAGTGTAAACACTTAGAAACCCTTTCACATGGGTAGTGATGTCTTCTTCGGGAGCCGGAATCACCACCTATTTATCTTCCCAATGGCATTCTTTCTTCACCTGCTCAAGGTCACCCTCAGCTATCGAGCATATATATATCGACATTGGCTCACATCGACCAGGGACCGACGAGGTTTTCTCGACTTTGAAGTCGGAAGTAAGTTCACACACCCCGGGAACACACTCTTCAGGGCGTGGCTCCACCGGTGTTTTATTGTCGGCCAGTCGCGATGAAGAAGTTTTTTCCTTTTGAGGAATAGTTTTTGACCTTTTTGCCATTTTTGTATAAGTTTAAAGAACGAAGAAGAGAATAAGGCTTGGTGTTTTGAGTTGAGGGAAGGTTGGTAACAAAACTTAGAGATTATGCAGAACGAAAAGCTTAAGGGAGTAGAAAGAAGTGAAAGTATAGAATGAATCAATAAGGGAAGGGGCCTATTTAAGGGATTCACGATGACGGTTCAAAGGCACTGGTGGCCGACCACCAACTGACGCTCATTAATGACTTTGGGAACTTTACCAACGGGATGCTTCGGTCGCTTTCGTCACTTAATTCACGAGGATAATGTCATGGCAGGTCGAGGTACAAAATCGAAGGCTCAATTCGTTACTTCTCATCACACTCTAAGAAACGAGGGGACTCTTTGTATACGGTTAAAATCGGGCCTACCCGATTTTACTATTTGATCGAGACCAGGGAATTGCATCGAAGATCAGTTTCGTAGTAGATCTCTAGAGCACGAAGACAAGGTATCGAGTACGAGAATCGAGGTGCCTGTCGAGATCGAGGCCAGTAGCAATCGAGACCAAATATGGCAGACTTCGAGCAAAGCACAGTAACGAAAAGGCGAGATATATGTGACCGGTCAAAGACCACGGCGAAAATCCCATAACAGATCGAATCAAGGGTGATTGTTTAGGCTAATCATGGGGTTTACTTCCGTAATTAGAATTGTGCCATAGATAGGATTCCTCTACTATATAAGGAGGGTTCTAATCATTTAGACACCTTACATTCACGCATATCAAAGCAATATAATATTCTCTCTTTAGTTTACACACTCTTGTTCATCAGCTTGTCAAATTTTTTAACTATTCTTGCACCAACTAGTTTGAGAGCATCTGAGCTCGAGGGCTGAATTACGTTGTAACACTAGTTTGATTTATCTTATTGTCAATTTTTATTACTAATCCTTACATTTATCAATTGGTATTAGATGAAATCACGTGTTCTTAAAACTACATTATAAATTTAATTGTTATCCAATTTTAAGGGTAAACAAGAAGATCACTTAATGCAATTTGAAATCATTTTGCACGCATGCTCAAAGGAAAAACACATTTAAAGGTAGAGTCCCCACTTACCTTGGAGCTAGCTTAACAATATTCACGCCTGGGGTGGGGGATTGCCTCAAGGTGCAAGAATTTATATATATATATATATATATATTCGTAGTATAATTTTCGAACAAAAAGGATTCAATTAAACCCCTTCCAATTATGTACGACGTACATGTAGGCGCTTTTTTGTGATATTATTTGACTACTATTTTATGACTTGTTCGTGTCATAAAATCATCTACACATTTTCTTGGATACGACTCAAAATTAAGAATAAACATAAAAAGAAGAAAGTGACAATTTATAATTGCAAATAAAAATAGCTGAAATTTTTTCAACGTGGTAGGATCCCTTTTCCTTTGGTTTACGTAAAGTGCGCTCTTTCTCTCGTTTTACCTCTTGAGTTTCAAGAACAACACAGACTGTTTAGAACAATGAAAAGCAAATGCAAATATAGGATTGAGGACCAAAGCGTGGGGTCTCTCAACTTCACCTATTTGCTGAGACCCCCCACGTTTGGGGCTACGTTCCTCTCTTTAATTAGTCTATGCATCCCTCTTTTGGTAATTCTAATAGTTTTCCTTCTTTGTTTTGTGATGTAGTGAATTATATCAAAAGCATATCATATGAAGAATTGATGTGAAATTTCCTTCGTTATGATCACTTGATTTGTAAATGATTGCTCTTAATTTTATCAAATACTTTGCTATTTCATTAATCATTTGTTTCGTTATGTCATGCACGATGGCAAATTCAGAAGTTAGACGTTGTGGGCTAATTTTGAAATAGAGTATATTAATTAATTCAATATATACTTGTTATACACATACATATAATGTCCGACCCTAGAGCTCTAAATGACGCGAAAATGTTTAAATTCCATTTATGACAATTTTTTTATTTTCCATGAAAGATAAATAATATGGCCAAGGTGTTGTTTGATTAAAATTCCCAATTTTAAACTTAGGATTAAGGTCAGCATTAGAATGTAATATAGGTGATCTTAACCTATATTCTGGTTTTTAGTGTTTGTTAATCTTATTTTGCCTTCAAATTTGGACTTTTTAAATTTTTCCTTACTGGGAACCTCAAATTGCTTTTGGTGAAAGCTTAAAGCATATCATGATTTGCCTAGAGCACAATTAATGTGCATATTAAAAAGAAAGGGAAATTTTCAGGCTACTATTTGTGTTCATCCTTTAGGATTTCTGATGGGTAGCCTTGGAGCAATGGTAAAATTGTCTTCGTGTGACGTACAGGCCATGGGTTCGAGCCGTTGAAGTACGCACTAATGCTTGCATTAGAGCAGGATGTCTTCATCACTCCCTAGAGGTGCGGCCCTTCCCCGAATCTTGCGTGAATGCGGAATGCTTTGTGCATCGGGTTGTCTTTATTTCCTTTAAGATTTCTGGTCCAAAAAGGGAAAACCAAAGATTATTCTAAAAAAATGGCAGTCTCATGCACTAAGCTCCTGCTATGCACAAGGTCTGGGAAAGGGCCAGACAACCAAATGTCTATTGTGCGCAGACATGTATTTCTGCAAGAGGCTGTTTCCACGGCTCGAACCCCTGACCTTCTGGTCACATTGCAACAACTTTACCAGTTACGCCAAGACTCCCCTCAGAGGTTGCTCTATTTATGCCATTTAAAAGGTATTCATAGTAAAGCTCTATGTTAGTTATTAATTAATCACTTAGAACATTTATCACCTGCAGAAATTTCTTTAGAAATGGAAAGTTCAAATGGATCATCACGCTTGAAAAACTTCTCCTTTTCAAACAAGCAATTGATCATGGACTCCACTTCAGAGGGATCAGGATCGGGATCGAGTCACCATCATCGGTGTAACTCGGAGAGCTTTCTTATAGAGGAGCAACCTTCTTGGCTTGATGACCTTTTGAATGAACCTGCAGAAACACTAGTTGTACACAAAGGTCATCGTCGTTCAGCTAGCGACACTTTTGCGTACCTAGGAGCAGCTGCAGAGAGGTTAAACACAAGGGAAATTAACAACAATGTAAATGTAGGAGGATCTTCAATCAACTACGTCAGTTACAAAGATCATTTAACTTCATCAGTTTCCTATGACACAAAGCCAACTTCTGCTAAGGTGTGCATGCCCTATTAAGATAAAATTTAGCTTGTACAGAATTGTTTTAATATCTAAATACGCGACCGAGACATGACTTCTGAAGCTAATGAGGATCCTTCTTCATATATAGGCTGCTCTGGAATTGAATGAGAAGCATAACAGAGAGGTCATAAGTACACAAAACAAAGAGGGATCTAGTGAAAGATCGAACAATACACAAGCCAAACATTCCATGTCCAAGGCTGATGCAAAACGTGCTAAACAGTAAGGTTTCATTACAATGTCAACTACTAGTTGAATCTGAATTACACAAGCCAAACATTCCAGTAAGGTTTTAAAGAGCACACTGCTGTATATAAATCTGAATTATGCAGGCAATCTGCTCACCGATCACGTGTCAGAAAACTTCAGCACATAGCTGAACTTGAAAGAACAGTTCAAGCTTTGCAGGTACATACTGCAAAATTGCCCTATTTCTTGGATTGGCCTAATAACCCTATTTCTTGGATTGGCCTAATAACTGACTTAGTTGAACAACCAAAATTCTTATTTTCTTAAGCCGAGGGTCTATTGGAAACAAGCTCTCTGCCTTCAAAAGGTAGGGGTAAAGTCTGCGTATATACTACCCTCCTCAGACCCCACTTATGGAATTTCACCGAATATGTTGTTGTTGTTTATTTTACTTGGTAAAAGTAAGTGTCTGATAGATTTTATCTTAGTTCAATATCTGCCCTTTATATCCTGAGTTTAGAAAGTTATATATATTTGTAATGTGAAACATTGATGTGTCTTTTTGTTTAGCTATCAAAAAATAGTAATACTATAAGACATTGACTTTGTATAAGCACTTGCCCTCAAAAAATTTACTTTCAAAGAAGGGAAAAAAAGGGAGAAACAAGAATTGTAACACATTTTTATGTGCTGAGATTTCAGGCAGAAGGATCTGAGCTCTCTGCTGAGCTAGAATTTCTTGACCAACAAAATATTATACTGAGCATGGAGAATAGAGCCCTGAGGCAGCGTTTGGATAGCTTATCGCAAGAGCAGCTCATAAAACATTGTATGTATCTTTCATGTTACCTTATTATTACTCAGCATTGAGTTATATATGTTGCATGCATGCTTTTTAATGCCAACATAATTGTTCCATAGAAAAACTTAAAGAGCATGTTTTAATGATGCAGTGGAGCAAGAGATGTTGGAGAGGGAACTTACAAGGTTACAAACTCTGTATCAGATGCAGAGGCAACAAGTGCAACAACAACAGCATCAGCAGCCACAACAGCAGAATCACTCTAAACATCGTCGAAACAAAAGCAGAGATCTTGAAGCCCAATTTGCCAACCTCTCAATCAAGAACAATGAAGCCAGTTCCAGCAGAGTTCAGGTTACTGGTTCAGTCCGGATGTAAATGAGACTCGACCTTTTTACAGCCGCCAAGTGGAATGTCTCTATCTTTCCTTTTTCCACTTAAAAATCGCGATTCAGTATTACTAAATGTTAGAAACCAAAGAAGTTCTATATTTCATATCTAGAAGAGAAGATTACAAGGCCTATTTATAATACTAATTCACCTAATCTATTAGTTGTCATACACCTAATTACACCTACTATACAACTCATATACATGTGCTAGCTATGATGTAGTACATGTGTATACATGTGCTACACAACTTGTATTACACCTACTATACAACTCATATACATGTGCTAGCTATGATGTAGTACATGTGTATACATGTGCTAGACAACTTGTATGTCAACACTCTCCCTCAAGTTGGAGCATATATATTGATCATGCCCAACTTGTTACAGATATATTCAACTCGAGCTCCATTCAAAGCTTTTGTGAAAATGTCTCCCAATTGATCTCCAGTTCTAACATGACCTGTAGAGATGAGCTTTTGTTGAATCTTTTCACGAACAAAGTGACAATCTATTTCAATGTGCTTAGTCCTTTCGTGAAATACAGGATTAGAGGAGATATGAAGAGCAGCTTGATTATCACACCACAACTTTGCTGGCAATGTAGTTTGGAAGCCAACTTCACTTAATAGTTGATGTACCCATACAACCTCACACACAGATTGTGCCATAGCTCTGTATTCTGCTTCCGCACTAGATCGAGATACGACATTTTGTTTCTTACTCTTCCACGAAATCAAGTTTCCACCAACAAAAACGCAATATCCTGTCGTGGATCTCCTATCGGCTTTTGACCCTGCCCAATCTGCATCTGTGAAACACTCAATGTTAGTGTGTTCATTATTCTTATATACTAGACCCCGTCCTGGAGATCCCTTTAGATAACAAAGAATCTGCTCCAGAGCCGCCCAATGCCTGACTGTTGGGGAAGACATAAACTGACTCACAATGCTGACAGAGTATGCGATATCGGGACGAGTTACTGTAAGATAGTTCAGTTTCCCAACCAATCTCCTATATTTCTCTGGATCTTCGAATAACTCACCGTCTTCTTTCACGAGTTGTGTGTTAGGAACCATTGGCATGCTGCATGGTTTAGATCCCAACTTTCCAGTTTCAGCTAACAAGTCAAGAGTATATTTCCTTTGGGACAAGAAGATGCCTTTCTTGCTCCGTGTAACTTCAACTCCCAAAAAATACTTTAGTTGCCCTAAATCTTTCGTCTGAAATTGAGTGTGAAGGAAAGACTTTAGAGTTGAAATTCCTGTAATATCACTTCCAGTAATAACGATGTCATCAACATATTCTACCAATAAAAGAATATCATCATCAGACTTTTTATAAAACACTGTATGATCGCAATTGCTTTTCTTCATCCCATATTCTATAACAGCCTCACTAAATCTGCCAAACCAAGCACGGGGACTCTGTTTCAGCCCATAAAGAGATTTTCGAAGACGACATACCTTTCCACACTCCCCCTGAGCAACAAACGCAGGTGGTTGCTCCATATATACTTCTTCCTGAAGATCTCCATGTAGAAAAGCATTCTTTATATCAAGCTGATGCAGAGGTCAATCATAACTAGCTGCCATGGAAATGAATAATCGAACAGAAGCTAACTTGGCGACCG